TTTAAGATTTTTTTGCTAATTCTAAATTATCTTACTATTTCTCAAATGCTCTGCCAATACAAGTTCTATGTCAATATACTAAAAGGAGAATTACTTTCCTTCCTTAGCAAGCTTCCCTGGCCCAGGTAAGATTATTTACTAAAATTTAAATTATTTTAATATTTCCATTATGTTTTATGTGATAAGGAGATCCATATTATTGTTCTAGTTTTCAAGTTGATTCTGTCTAGAACAAATCTACAAAAATTTAAATATTGTATTTAATCAGCACAAATGTCATTACTCCTCTCAGAAACTAGCCAACTGTCTTAGCTCTGTATGTCTGCTTATATAATAAACTTTACATACGTTAGCGGCATCCTAGTTTTGCCCAAGGTTTCCATTATATTTCATAGCATTAATTACAGTCTCTCAACAAGAGAAGTGCATAGTAATGTTGACTATTCATTAATGAATAAAAACCAGTATACTAAAAGAAACAAAATGTATTTCTTCTTTAGCAATCTGTCTTTGCCCAGGTGAGACAATTTATTCAATTTTAAATATTTTAATATTTATATTCTGTGTTACAATTTTATAACTTGTACTTTTTCCTAAACACAGAAACACCTTCCAAGACAGAGCCAGTTCTACTACCCAAATATGGTAATATTTTACTTGGAATTTAGCAAAGAAAAGATGTTAATAATGATTATAAGTAGGTATGAAAATAAAATATAGTCTTAAATAATTTATAGGCTCTTATGTATTCCAGGGAATAAAATTTATTTACTATTTATGTTTTTAAACTCCAGAGAATTTAGCCTCAGCTAAGCTTTTTATACACTCAAAATATGAAACTTTAGATTTTTTTCAATAATCCTTGAGTAAAATCTGTATTGTATACTGTAAGTTTCATGGATATTGATATAATCTCTACTCATTGTAGTGAACACAGTAGTGTGAAGTCAGATGTCTGAGTAATCTAGAACACATTTCCTTCTGTACAGGAGCAGGCTTACAGAATGAATGCACACAACCAAGTTCAAATGGTAATATTTCTTTTTGTATTATAAAATAATAATATATTATTAAATTTTTGCTTTAAAACTTCTCACTCTTGAATAGAATCCTCTCTCTCTTCCTCTTTCTCTGTTTCCCATTTCTAAACTAACTTGTGTTGGTTAACTACAAGAAAAAGAATGGCCAGTCTCCATCCTTTGGGTGGGACCTGCTCCTGTGCCTCCTTGTGCATATCTCAGTTCCTGTGGGCAGCACAGCTATAATTACAAGCATTACGAAGGGTCACTTTCTACGGTTACATTTATTCATGTCAGCGCCTCTTTTATTGTCATGTAACTGTACCTGGTTTATTTAGGATTGTCAAACTCAATCAATGTGGCTTGGGGATGTCCAGATCAGTTTTAGTCATGTTCGCTTAATGGGTGCATGTTGAAAATTGATTAACTGACTGACTTGCTGTTCTTGAAAGAGACCATCTAGATTCTAGACTCCAGATTCCAGGGGGACTGGATCAAAATCCTTCAACTTTCTCTCTTGTCACCTATGAGGAGAATTTATCAGTCCTAAACAGTGGACACTGTCTGCTCTATTCTGTATACCACTGGTCCCACAGTGTCTCTGGGATTTAAGATAAAAATCAGTTACTATGGAAGAACTGTTGCCTAGCAATTCTGACTCAGGCAGATCACTAGACCCATTGCATACCAGGCATGGAGATTTCTAACAGGAACTCACAATTTAGTGAATTAATGATTGTTGGGGGTGCCTCTGTGTCTTAGAGGAAAAGATGTCACTGGGTAATTAAACAGCATTAATTAGTGTCAGTTCCCAAATCACTAACAAGGAAAGTTTCAAACAGGTTGTTTCTTCTATCCTAACAGTGTTAATAGATCCTAAAATGTAATTCCTATTTCCTTTTTTCTTTCCAGAGACAGCCTATGAGTGCAATGGATCAGGTAAAGCTTCATCTGTGCTCACATCTGTGTGTATGTGTGCACATATTCACACACTCATGTGTGTTTGTGTGGCATTTGTGTGGCATGTATAATGTTCTCATAAATACTCTTATATATGCTATTTCCATCAATAAGTAGCACTGTTCCAGTCTTTCTTAGCTGCTGGCTCCTCATGGGCTCTCCAGGGATAGTTCTGACCTTGCTGTAGAATTTCAGATCTAAGTTGTCAAATAAAAATGAGAGACGAATTCTTTAAACATCATTGAATGAAAATTGTTCCAGTCCAACCTTTAAATCTGAAAAATCCCGACTTGATACCCTGTTGTCCAAATACAGTTCTGCAATGGAATCAATTTAGGTTCTCAATCTGAATATATATTATATCTCACTTTGGGGAAATTACTATGTCTGTCCATTTTTGATCTTCCCCAATTCCTACATATTCGTGTTTCTAGTGTCTATATATGTGTGTCTTTATGTTTTAAAAGAGGTCACATTCAAGTTGGAGACTGTAGGCCACTGATGGTTCCATCTTACATAGAATATTCCAATATTTAAAAGAATGTGTAGAAAAGTGATGAAATTTTCTTTCTATGAATATGATTATGATTAAATTGTTTCCCATGATTTTAAATATTGAAACAATCAGTTGCTTAATGATTTGTCAGTGTGCCTCAAGTTATCTTCATTGCGTTCTTGAATACTCCAATCACTTTCACTGCTCAAAGCAAAAGCAAATTAAGGACAATGATTTGTTTTTATTTATAGTGCAATGAACATCTTGGTTTCAACCTTCCATATAATTCTTTTAAAAGACAGTGTGAAAATTGTACATATAGATTTTCTTCTTTACAAGTTTGGTACAATAATTTGGTTTGTATTGGTCCCCAGCTATATGTAACTTAGAAAGATTTTTTTTCTCTCTCTCTCCACCAAGGAACTGGCCCAGCTCTTTGTCCAGGTCAGTTGGTTTTATTATTTAATTTTATTTCATATATATTAATAAGAAAATAGAGACTTTCATATATAGTATTTGTTTTATTATTTATGTAAATGTTCACAGGAAAATCTGACATGTTTTTAATTTTATTTCTGATCCCATAAAATATAAAATCCACTTATATAGAGAGTTTTGTGTGCATTAGCATAAAAATTCCTAAATTTCTAACTAAAATTTTATAATAGATCAATAGAGGCAGCTGTTCCAATATTTCAGAAAGGAACACACTTTTTTGTACCCCAAACAAGTTTCTTGAGAGACACTGAGCTAACATTTAGAAAATTATTTTCTACATATCAGACATTCATGGATCAGCTATATTGACCCTGGATAAATGACCCTTCTTTGGACATCAGAGTCCTTAAGAAAGTTAAATAGGTTTAAATTAGCAAAGCAATTTTTTTTTGTAGTTAAAGTATCAAGGAGTTCTGAAAAAAGCATTAATGAGATTCATGGGCTTTTTCTTTATTTTTTTATTTTACATACCAACCACAGTTTCCCTCTCCCTCCCCTTCTTCCTCTTCTCCCCATATCACTCCCATCTCAACCCCCTTCCACTCCTCAGAGGGTGTAAGGCCTCCCTTGGGGAATCAACAAAGTCTGGCATGCCAGGCTGAGGCAGGACCAAGCCCCTCCCCACTGCCTCAAGGCTGAGCAAGGAATCCCACCATAGGGAATGGGTTCCAGAAAGCCAGTTCATACACCCTGGATAAGTCCTGGTCCCACTGCCAGGGGCCCCACAAACAGATTCATGTTCTTATTTTCTTTGGGGCTCTGGTAACTGGATTCTGTATGGACAACGTTGGTCCTTGGGATTCAGTTTTGAACAGTGACTTTAAGAAGTGAGAATGCTATCCAGCTCTCCATGAACTCAAACAGCAATCGCTCACACATTTTGTTGTTGTTGTTGTTTGTCTTTCTCTATAGGCCTTCCCACAATTCCACCAGTATGATGTCTATCCCTTTTGGGCTTATTTTCCACAAGACATGCAGCACCTTACTTCCGAAGCTATACTTAACACCCTCAATGCCATTGTCCCCAAGAGTGCTGAGGAAACCAAAGTGTGGTGGTAAGTTTATGAAAATTACTGAATGCTCATGCTCTACCAAAGGAAGTAAAGAAGCTTAAAGAGCATCTGCAAGAAAATATTTAAAATAAAAATGACCAGTCAGGTACTTTCTGGTATCTAAGACTTAAAATCACTCCTCTGAAACATGCAGAGCAGAATTCTCCATTAGTAAGTGCAATCCATTGTAACGATGGAAGCAGAAAACTGCCAACACACAGTAAACATTACCCTTCTTCAATTTTCACTAATCTCTAAACACTTTCCATCTGTGTATACATATGATCAATATGGAAATGCTATGTATGTATTAAGAGCACCTATCTAAACACGCATTCACCCTGAATTCAACTCCTGGCCTTTTCCTCATTTGAAACACTATGGTAACGCTTTTTTTCTTGTTATCCTTAAGGTAATTGAATTCAGTAATCTTTGTCAAGTGTAGTATTATGAAAACAGGCACTTTAATAAGTGACTGTCATCATCGCCTCATTAAAATTTTGCTACTGAGTAAATTCATCCACTGATGCGAGTGATTTTTGTTCTTTCAGAGAATTTAAGTCAACTCTCAGGAACTCCACAATTACAGCACTTGGTGAGTTTATAGGCTGTATGTCTAGTGTTCAGCCCTACTTTCATTTGAAATTTGAGTTTTCATAATTATATATTTAAATAGCATAAATATTAAAATGTATTTAATAGCAAATAATGTTTCACTAGTAAAAGTTATAATAATGGAAAAGCCTATGCAAGTCTGTATGAATGTTACCCCTTCTTCATGGAATAGTGCCTCTGACACATGTAAAGCAAAACAGTAAGGTTCTATGCTTTATGATACTAAAGTAGAATTGATAGCAAATCACACAGTAAAACTAAACGTGTGTTTTAATCATCTCAGCTACACTAAGTGTGTGTGAGTGTTTGTGTTTGTTTGTGGTATGAGATGTTCCTTATTTTTCCCCCTAAAATATCACATTAACGAAAACGATAATCTTCTGACTTACGTGACAGCATTTTCTTGTGTTTGCCTGGTGGCATCTGTAATGATAACACAAAAAGTTACAGCTTAGTAAAAAAAAATTATCTTTACATAAAAAACAGGAGTAATGTTTATCAGTAGTAGACAAATAAAAATGACCCTGTGAGTTAAAAAGGAAATGACTAGCAAAGTATATAAAATCATAACAATTCTCCCCTCAAATTTAAATAATATAGCTAACCATGCCTTTCCACCTCTACTTACAGATGTGACTGGAACCTCTGTCCTCTTCACTTCCCCTCTCCATGCATCATATGGAACGACCATCTTACCCAAAGGCTTAACTGCTACTCTAGAATAGGAAAATGCCGTAGAGAAGGCACTCATTCACCCTGAGTTGTCTACTGCTTATTAGATAGCACAGCACCCTTCCTTAAGCTAACCTTTCCTAGACAGATTCTGTTTAAATTCCGGTTGCATCATGCCAGTAGGGAAAACACCCGAGCAGAGAGAATCAAAGTCTTTAACTAAGTTTCTATAATGGAAATTTTGTTTTAAAAGTCATTTAATCGATTCTTCTGTAAATGCTATCATCTGGAGTAATCGTGTGCAGTAACTGAGATTTTCTTTCTCCTCCTTTCAATAAATTACGTTTTAAGGCACAAATCATGTTTTTGTCATTACTGGATATTTACATAACGTTGCGGAGTGTTTGTGTGTGTGTGAAATTGTGTGTGAGCTAAGTTTATGGCATTTTAACAAATTTTTTTAGATATCTTTACTTCTAGCTGGTACAGAAAGTCACAAAGGATACTTGTAAGCTATATACAGCATCTTTAAAGTTGATTTTATCATAAACTATCTACCACCTGAGTATACAGACTTATGCATCATTATGTGAGTGGTGGGACACTAGGAGTTTGAACCTGGTTATGCTTTACTTCTACCCTCTGAATACATTTGAGGCAGCATCACAATCATATGTTAAAAATAACCCTACAAGAGCAAACATATCAATTGAATCCAACATTATTAACAGAACAGACAGCTGTATTTTCTGCAGTCTAAACTGTAGTGCCAACGTAGGTTAAATCTCTCTGTGAGACTGTTGAGTGAAGTGAGACATTTTATTTGTAGAATAAAATAAATTGCTTCTCTTTCCTTACTTTTAAAATCATTTTGAAGAAGATAGACTTACAAGATTGCTGTGTGTAAGACAAATACCAGGAACTTTAAAATTTTCACGCTTAAAATATGTGTCACCTGCAATAAGTACCTGTTGTATCGTTTTTGCTTTTGTGAGGGGGGGCCTGTCACCCAGCTCCCAAATAAATCACACACAGAGGCTTATTCTTAATTATGAATGTCTGGCCTTAGTTTAGCTTAGTTCCTTGCCAACTTTTCTTAACTTATTCCATCTATCTTTTGCCTCTGGTCTTTTCCTTTTCTCTAACTTCAGTAAATCTTACTCTGTAGCTTGCTGTGTAGCTGGGTGGCTGACTCCTGGCATTGTCCTCCTCCTCTGACTGCTAGATCTTAGATCTCTCCTCCCAGTTTTCTCCTTCTATACATACTCTCTCTCTCTGCCAGCCCTGCCTATCCTTTCTCCTGCCTTGCTATTGGCCAGTTCTTTATTAGACCATTAGATGTTTTAGACAGGCACAGTAACACAACTTCACAGAGTGAAACAAATGCAACATAAACAAAAGTAACACACCTTAAATTATTCTACTACAAGTACCTATCATTGCCTTGTGAACTTTTCATGATCCTTCATTATCCTCCAAAAAAATATCAGGAAGTAGAATCACATTACTGTATGACTCATTAACATTCCCCCTTTTAGTCAACAGTATTTTTTTACCTAGAAATACAGTACACTGTTATTTACAACTTAACTATAGGAAACACAATTTCTAGTGCACCTTTTTCTACCTCTTTACTCTATACATCGGGAGAATTAGTCTTTTGTAGCCATTCAAACTATACACTGCAAAATGAGCAGTGTGAGAATTAACCAGGAATGGTTTATATTCTTCCTAGAATTAGTGAAGGCAAGATCTCATGCAACACCATCTATTATTTGACTTTAAAGAAATCGAGACACTAACCACAGCTCTTCAAAGCATTCTCCACACTAAGTAGTAATGAGCAAAAGCATGGATATCAGACTTTGTAAGATTATATTTCTTTCACTAGGTAAAGGATGTAAAACTCATAGGTAGAGAGCAAGCATTATGCTGAGAAATATGATCTAATTGCAGGATCCTTCCTATAGAACTTAATTTCTCTGCATTCAAGGGATATAAACATATAACTGATTCTTGTTTGGAATCTGAGAATGGGGAGCCCTGTGAGTGTTTCTAATGATAGCTAGAATATGCTCATCATTCACGGATATTCCAATAATATATATATATCTTCTGTTATTGTTGCTATTAAATGCTTCATGGAGAAATAATAAGACTTATATGTCATAACTTCTTGTCTAACCATCTTTTATGCAATGCTTATCATGATAAAGATAAACATAATAGAATTTTATGAGTATTTTAAGTAGTTTTCTATTTAATAATGTATTTTCTGATACAGTAGATTTTATCATTGATGTTCCACTTTCCTAAATGTCACCTAAGACCTGCAAAGTGAAGTTGAAGTTTTCCTGGTCCCACCCAGTTCCTGGGGCTCCATGGTCCCTCAGTCACTCAGACCCAAATAAACACACCGAGGCTTATATTAATTGCAACTGCTGTGCCATTGTCTCAGACTTATTACTGACTAGCTCTTACAGTTAAATTAACCCATGATTCTTATTTATGTTCAGCCATGTGGCTTGGTACCTTTTTTCAGTTCTGCCTTTACATCTTGCTTTCTGTGTCTGGATGGTGACTCCTGACTCAACCTTCCTCTTCCCAGAATTCTCTTTGTCTGCTTATCATGCCTATACTTCCTGCCTGGCTACTGGCCAATCAGTGTTTTATTTATCAACCAATCAGAGCAACACACATTCACAGAATATAGAACGATATACCAGAGAACCAAAATTTGTAAATTCAAGTGCTATTTCATCTAGTATCTGTGACCTGAATGAAGCACTAATCTTTTTTTTTTTTTTTTGGTTTTTTCGAGACAGGGTTTCTCTGTGTAGATTTGTGCCTTTCCTGGAACTCACTTGGTAGCCCAGGCTGGCCTCGAACTCACAGAGATCTGCCTGCCTCTGCCTCCCGAGTGCTGGGATTAAAGGCGTGCGCCACCACCGCCCGGCGAAGCACTAATCTTAAAAGATTTTATGCATCAGTGTGGATTTTCAATCAGTTCTAAAAGCAATAAACACGTGACTCACACACAGGGCAAAAGACACAGGTAGGCAAAGCACTGAAGAATAAATAAAGATTTATTTCTATATTTTATTAAGATACTAGTATATTCTACTATGGTTTGTGTGGTCTCTTCTATCCTGCATTTGAGCTACAGCCATAGAATGTTATTTACACAATATCCATTCATTTTATTTTAGGTAGTCGGAATTCATTCATTTCAATTATAGTAAAATATTCCATTCCATTGTACTCAATTTATCCAAAATATTATTGAATCACAATTTTGTGGATTTTAGTTTGAAGGATCAATACATATATTGCTATTTCCATTGGTACATGTTTTAGTTGAACATATTTATCTTGGCAATTGGCAATTATTCTTCACTTTATCATATATTATACAGGCATCTAAAACACATAAGCCCATCCATATACTCACTTGGAAAATCAAGTTTTAGCAAAGAACACCTCTAAATCGATCTAATAGCACCCCCCCCCTCAGTATTTGGTTTTTCTCACTATCTGATCTGGTTCCTTGTCTCATTCCCTTAAATAATATCTGGTCACTCTGGCTTGTTCTCAGTGTTATGTGAGTTTGGTTTTTACTAGAATCTTTCTAACTCATGATACTTTCTCTTAGTAAGTAAGCATGCACTGTCTCCCTTCCTGGTTTTTTGTTGTTGTGGTTGTTGTTGTTGTTGTTGTTGACAGACCTACATTTACCAAAGCCGAGCTGCTGTCTTTGCAAAATCCTATTGCTGTTGTCATTGTGTATGTGTGTGTGAGAGATTCTGAACAAACTCTTCCTTATCATGTTTTAATAATTATTAAATATCTTTTTAACACAACATGCCTTACAATGAGACTAGTCTTTGACCAGTAGACAAAATATACTGTCACCAATTTTTAACAAATACTAACAGATATTTTGCATGTTCTTTGCCAACTTTTATTTAAGTTAGCATTGCAAAGCATTCTTTTATCGCTGTTCTTTTTGTTGTTGTTGCTTCATTTTGTTCTGATTTTATACTGCATTTCTGGACTTTAATTCTTTTCATTTCAGCCCCTTTGGCTATTATATACTGTCTTGAATTTGTATTTTCACTGAGAACTAGAGATGTGAACACCTTCCTGATTTTATTAATCATCAAAATTTCTTTCTTGTTCTAGCTAGTCAAGTATCTGAGGCTAGAATAGAACAAATTATTTTAGCAAACTTTAAGAATGGTCATGTGTCTTAGTTAGGGTTTCTATTGCTGTAAAAAGACACCATGACTATGTCAACTCTTATAAGGAAAACATTTAATTGAGAGGGCTCGTTTACAGTTTCAGAGATTCAGTATCATCGTAGTGGGGAGCATGGTGGCATGCAGGCAGACATGGTGCTGGTGTTAAAAGTCCTACATCTTCCAAGCAGCAGGAAATTAACGGACAGTCACACTGAGAGAAGCTTGAGCAAAAGAGACCTCAAAGCCTACCCTCACAGTGACACACTTCCTCCAGCAAGGCTACAGCAAGGAAGTAATAGTATTACTTCCTTTAGGGACCATTTTCCTTCCAACTACCACATCATGTAGCTAGGCTATTTATACAAAAGTGATCCTTTCTGTTGCATAGGTTATACACTGTAATAATGGTTGTCTTACTAATCTGAATTTGGTTCTTTATACATTTCATATGTAAGCCATTCAACCATGAAGCCTGCTGGGGTCTGCACCAGGTCCTCTCCATATGTATGG